AGGCTCTAAAGACGCCCCCAAAGGAAACCTGGGAAGGTCGGGGGGGGGGATCGGAATATAGGGGTTATTTCAATCTGGACACACCTTTCCTCTCCCCCCTCTGTCTCTCTCTCTCTCTTTCCCCCTTTCTCTCTCTCTCTTTCTCTCTCTTTCTCCCTCCCTCTCTTTTTCCCTTCCCTCTCTCGTTCTCCCTCTCTCTCCCTCTCTTTCTCCTTCTCTCTCTCTTTCTCCCTCTCTCTCCCCCTCCCTCTCTCTTTCTCTCTCTCTTTCTCTTTCTCCCTTTCTCTCTCTCTCTCTCTCTTTCCCCCTTTCTCTCTCTCTCTTTCTCTCTCTTTCTCCCTCCCTCTCTTTTTCCCTTCCCTCTCTCGTTCTCCCTCTCTCTCCCTCTCTTTCTCCTTCTCTCTCTCTTTCTCCCTCTCTCTCCCCCTCCCTCTCTCTTTCTCTCTCTCTTTCTCTTTCTCCCTTTCTCTTTCTCTCTCTCTCTTTCTCCCTTTCTCTTTCTCTCTCTCTCTCTTTCTCCCTCCCTCTCTTTTTCCCTTCCCTCTCGTTCTCCCCCTTTCTCTCCCTTTCTCTTTCTCCCTTTCTCTTTCTCTCTTTCTCCCTCTCTTTCTCCCTCTCTCTCTCTTTCTCCCTTTCTCTTTCTCTCTCTTTCTCCCTCTCTCTCTCTTTCTCCCTTTCTCTTCCTCTCTCTCCCCCTCCCTCTCTCTCCCCCTCCCTCTCTCTTTCTCCCTTTCTTTCTCTCTCCCTCCCTCCCTCTCTCTTTCTCCAGCATGGTGGACTTTATGGCCAGATAATAATATCTTTTAGCCAAAGTGAAGCTAATCTCATAGAACATAGAATTCTGTCCAGGCTCTTCTTAACGCCTGGTGGCAACTTCTGTTCCCCTGATTGATTGTTCTGACTCTCAGGAAATTTCTCCTTAGCCCCAGGTGGCTTCTCTCTCCTTGATTAGTTTCCACCCATTGCTTCTTTTTCCTCTGGTGCTTTGGAGAATAATGAGACCCCCCCCCCTCTCTTCTTTGGGGCAGCCCCTCAAATATTGGAACCTTGCTCTTAAGTCCCCCCCCCCCGGCCGAAACCCCAAATCCCACAGCTGTTCTTCCTATGTTTTAGTCCCCGGGCCTTTCACCCGATTCCTTGTATTTATGTTGTCCAACGACAGTCAAGATTATACAAATTAATCCTCTCCGTTTCTCTTCTTTGCACTTCCCCCAAAATCTCAACATCTTTTGTGCAACTTTGCTGTCAGTTTTGGTGACACAATTGGGTGCAGGGTTCGGGGGGGGGGGCTTGGGGAGGCTTTTTAAAGGGCTCCGGGGGATTCCATGCCTCTGTTTACGCCACCCGGGATCCTGTTAGCTTCCTTGCCTGTTGCCAAGCGCCCACATTTTGCTTCCATGCCCGTGAGGGTGCAGGGACGGTCACAAGTGCGAGGAACGGTCAGAAGCCGTCTCTTTTCCGTGCCGCTGTCATTTTGAACGGGGGCTGTTTTTCCCTCCTGCAGATTACCTGTGCACTCCGGACGAGAACGTGTACAAGATCGACTTCACCCGGTTTAAGATCCGGGATATGGAATCCGGCACGGTGCTTTTTGAGATCACTAAGCCCCCGGCCTCAGGTGAGACGGCGGCCATCGGCCCCCTTTGCTTTCAGGGCAGTTGCCCTTTTGAATGGTCGCTAAATGGAGGTTGCAAGTGGAGGATCTCCTGCACCCCTCTTCTTCTTCCGACGTGCTTTGAAGCTTTTCCCGTTTTTGAAACGAGAACGGCTGAAACGAGGCGCACAACGGCGCTATTCGAGTGCCCATTCCGGCCGCTTTGGACTCCTTCCTTCGCTTTGCGTTGGAGGAATTACAGGTAGTCCTCGACTTATGACCACACAATGGAGCTCAGCGTTTCCATTGCTAAGCAAGGCGGTTGTTAAGTGAGCTTTACCCCATGCGGCAACATTTCTAAGTGAATCACTGCAGCTTGTTAAATTGGTAACGTGGTGGTTAAGTGGGTCGGGTGTCCCCCCCAACTGAATTTGGCTGGTCAGAAGGTCGCAAAAGGAGGACCACGTGACCCCGGGTACCCTGCAAGCGTCGTAAGTGCGGGCCAATTGCCGAAGGTCTGAATCTTGCTGCGACTGTCGTGTGAGAAACGGCCCGAAGTGGCTTTTTTTCAGATGGGCAGGAAGGGATTCCTTGCCCTGCGGGAGGATTTCGGGGGGGTCCCTTTTGGGGGGGGTGAGCTCCTTTTTGCCCCATGAAAGAGGGGAGGGGGAATACGGCGGACGGACGGAATGGTCTCGCACTTGGACCCCAACTTCTGTAGCTGGAGCGACTCATCCTGGTTCCTGGGGGGGGGTGTCTCCTGTGCCCCCTCAGAGCTCAGGGGTGGCAGGGGCTGTGCAGTGGTTAAATGCAGCACTGCAGGCTACTTCAGCTGACTGCCGTTCNTGTCTGGACTTCAACTCCCAGAATTCCCCAGCCAGCATTCGCTGGCTGGGGAATTCTGGGAGTTGAGGTCCAGACATCTTCAAGTGGCCAAGGTTGAGAAACACTGTAAAAAGTTTCAACAAAAAAGCTTCGTTCTGTGCAGGCCAATCTCTCGCCTTGGTTTCCTCTCCCCTGGGGGAAGGAAGTGACGTCACCTCTTCCACTCTGACACAGATGGCAGTTTGTGCCACTTACTCCAGCCCCCCCCCCCCATGCTGGCGGCACCAGTTGGGTGTCAGATGCCCTCCGTGGCTGTGCCCAGCGCCCTCTTGTCTGGCTGGGCCAACCCGGAACAAGGATGGGCAGTTAATTTCCCCAAAGGGCCACTTGAGAAATAGGGAGGGTTGCAGAGGGCTGTGAAGGTGTGTGGGCATGCTCACACCTGTGTCAATTGGGGGCGGGGGGGGTGGCAACACTACATAGCAGCCACCTTCAAATTAAAAACAATACAGGTCATCCTTGACTTAGGACCAAAAACAGAGCCCAAAGGGAGACATTTGTTTCGTCCCATTTTTTTACTTTTCTTGCCACGGTTGTTAAGTGAATCACTGTAATTGTTAAGTGAGCTGCACGGTTGCTAAGTGGATCTGGCTTCCCCGCTGGTCAGAAGGTTGCAAAAGGGGATCACCTAAGCGTCCTAATTTTGATCACGGGACCATGGAGATGCTGCAACGGTCGTAAGTGTGAAAAACGATCGTAAGTTCCCCCCTTTTTCAGTCCCGTTGTAACTTTGAACGGTCCCTAAACGAACTGTTGTAAGTCGAGAACTACCTGATAGGGACAGGCGAAGGTCTGGCTCTGGGCCGGGCGTGTGAAAATGCCCAGCTCTGCATTAGAAGCCAGCCGGAATGTGTGAATGGAAAAGGATGCTTGTTATTGGTGCAGACTTTCCGGTAAGGTTTCTGGGCTGGTTTCTGTGTGGGTAAGTGGGCCACCAACACTGGTGCCCCCTTGGATTTCTGGAAGGGCTGCTGGCATTGGGGCTGCCCCTGTTGCCCCCCACCCCCACCCCACCCCCGGCTGTTTTTCCTTGACGGATGAGCTGTCTATTTGAAGCTCCCTTGTCCTCGTCTCTGAGCCGGGCTAATTAACTTATCTTACCCAAATCCCTTTGAGGTGGGGCGTAATCCTCTCCCCCTGAGGTGGGGGCCTTGACCACCAGGGCCTGGGGAGGGAGAGAGGGGGGCATCTTCCGGAGCTGGCAGCTGCCAAGAGGTGCCAGTGGAGGACAAAGAGTTCAGTTCTTATTGTGTATTCCTTTTCCTGCCCATTTTTGGTGGAGCACAATTTTCAGGCCTTTGTGGTGGTTTGGAGATTATTCTGTTGTGCACACACTAACAACAAGAATGCAAGAGCTGGAAGGGACCTTGGAGGTCCTCTAGCCCAACCCCCTGCTCAAGCAGGAGGCCCTGGACCACTTCAGACAGGTGGCTAATCAATCACTTCTTAAAAGCCTCCAGTGATGGATCTCCCACAACTTCTGTTCCACTGGTACGTTGTTCCTACTGTCAGAGAATTTCTCTTTGGTTCTAGGTTGGATCTCTTTTTAATGATTTTCCAATTCTTATTCCATTGGATTTAAAAAACAAAACTGTGAGATTTATTTGTTCAGAACAAAGGCACTTTTTTCGGTCTGCTCCTGTCCGGAAATGGAAGCAGAAATGAGTTGTGAGACATTTCCTGGTTTTGCACAATTTCTCTGCCGCTGGTTGCAATTTGAGGAAAAGTCTTTTCCCAAGTAGCTTTTTGAGCCGAAGACGGCAGAAACTGTGACCGAATTAAATAAGATTAAAATTCCGGCCAGAGACACAGAGCTGCCCCCTCGAAATGGCGATCTTGTTCACGCAACTGAAAGTGAAACTTCTTGCACAGCCGTTTTTCTGGGACAGTAGAAGAATAAGGGTATCCAGTCTTGGGAACTTTTAAGTTGTGTGGACTTCGACTCCCAGAATTCCCCAGCCAGCTAAAGTTGCAAAGTCCAAAATCCCTTCTTTACTGCTTGAGCAAGGAGTTGGACTAGAGCAGTGTTTCTCAACCTTGTCAACTTGAAGATGTTTGGACTTCAACTCCCAGAATTCCCCAGCAGTGGTTAGGACAGTGTTTCTCAACCTTGGCAACTTGAAGATGTCNGCCTGGGCGGGGAGGCGGAGCGCGCGCAGCTCCAGTCTCGGCGGCCGCGGGAGGAGCAGCAGCATCAGCACCATCAGCACCGGCCGCGGCAGCAGCAGCAGCTCCGTCGGGGCCATGAAGGTGAAGAAGGGCAGCGGCGCAGCGGCCAACGGGGCAGCCGGAGCCACCGCCGGGCTGGGCAGCGACGAGGAGGCCCTGCGGAAGGCGCCCATCAGCCCCGACGACGTCCTGGCCCTGGGCAAGATCACCGCAGGTCAGCCGGGGGGGCGGCCGGGCAGGGGCGGGATGGAGCCCCGGGATGGAGCGGCCGCTGCGGAGGGACCCCCCCCCCTCTCATCCGGCGCCGCTTCCCCCCCTCCGCCCGCTGCCTCCCAGCCCCTTCAGGAGGAGGAGGGGGGCTCCGGGGGGCGCTTGGCCGGAGCGAGGAGCGGCTCCGGGGGGCGGAGGGGCGGCCTGCAGGGGAAGAGCCGGGCCGAGGGGCGCAGTTCGGCCGGGCTGCAGCCTCTTGGGCGGCCCCAGAGGGCGAGGGGGCACCTTGCCAAGCGAGCCCCGCGGAAGAGGCTGCTGTCCGGCGTGGGGGAGGGGGCGAGGGTGGAGCGGGGCGTTTTGGGGGTTCCGGGCCGGTTCTCCTTCCGAGCCCCCAAAGCTCCCAGCCCCTCCGAGCCCCCCCCTCAGGCCTCCTCTCCCCAAGGGCTCTTTGGCTGCCTTGACCACCCCACCCCACCCCCTAAGCGCCTTAGCCAGGATTAAGCCAGGATTGGGCTTGGTGTGACCCCAGAGGAGAACTCTTTGGGTCAAGGCAGCCCCTGGGACACACACACACACCCCAGTGCAAAGATTGACCCACTTTCGAAAAAGGAGAATCTGCAGGTGGGAAGCATCTCCCCCATCAATCCCCCCCCCCCCACATACACCCCCTGGCTTCTCTCTAGGGAAAGGCTGCTGAAGGGGGGGGGGGGGGCTAACCCCGAGAGATGAGCCTTTGGCGGCTGCCAATCTGTTGCTGCCCCTGGTATAGAGACCTTCCCTGACCCTGGCAGCTNGCTAACTATTGTGCCACCCTTAGCTGCCCGCAGCTTCTCTCAGGCCAAGGCCGTAGAACCTCGGGCACTTTAAGACCCGAATCCCCCAGCCGGCCCTGGGAGTTGACCTCCACCCGTCTTAAAGTGCCCGAGGGTCTCAGGCCTTCCTTTCGCCCAGCTGGGCTTCCCGTTTTACGGAGGGGGGGAGGGGAGGGGTGCAGGAGTGGCTTCCCAGCAGAGGCCTCGGGGGGGGGGCAGAGGGGTTGGGCATCCTCTGGCCACGGGGGCAACCGGGCGCCTCTCTCCTCTCCCGGCAGAACGAGAGCGCAGCGAAAAGAAGGAGGGCGACCCCAACGCCGGGCGGTTTGTGCGCTACCAGTTCACCCCAGCGTTCCTGCGGCTGCGGCAGGTGGGAGCCACGTAAGTTCCTGCAGGGGCCTGAAAGGGACGACGGCCTTGCTTTAGGTCTCGGAGGTCATCTAGTCCAACCCCCTGCTCAAGCAGGAGAGCCTAGGCCAGGCAGAACCTGAAAACCTCCCGGGATGGGGCACCCACAACGTCTCGGTCCTGGGGCTTCCCGGGAGTACTGGACTACAGTTCCCATCGTTCCCAGAAGGGATCGGTGCACCCTCCCCGTGTTGGCCCTGTTTTCTGCTCAAAGGATTCTGGGCCAATGTTGGTTGGCTGGCTGGCTGGCAGCCTTCCGGAAGCTGAGACCCCTGCCCCACCCCCACCCCCCAGCTCCGTTCCTGACGGGGCCCAATCCCAGCGCTGAGTGCGAGTGTCGCGCAGCCATCTCTGCCAGGGATTTTGCCCCCTTGCAGGCTGTGGGATCCGGTCTGAGCTCTCAGGGTGGGATGTTCAAAAGACGGCAACTGGGAATCCGATCCTTTTTCTTCTTCTTCTTCTTCTCTCCCCCCCCCTCTCTCCCTTCTTTCTTTCTCTCTCTTTTTTCTTCCCTCCCTCCATCTTTCTTTTTCTTTCTCTTTCTCTCCATCTCTATCTTCTTTTTTCCTTCCCTCTCTTCCTTCCTCTCCCTTCCTTCTTTTTTTCTCTCTCTCCATATCTCTTTTTCTTCCTCCCCTTTCTTTTTTTCTTTCTTTTTCTTTCCTCTCTCTTTCTCTCCATCTCTCTCTTTTTTCTTCCCCCTCCCTCTTTCCCTTCCTTCCTTCTTTCTTTTTTCCCTCTCTCTCTTTTTTCTTCCCTCCCTCACACCCTCCCTGTTCCTTTCTCTCTCTCTCTCCATTTCTCTTTTTTCTTCCCTTCCCCCTCTCTCTTTCTTTCTATCTCTCTCTTTTTCTTCTTTCTTTCTCTCCATCTCTTTTTTCTTCCCTCCCTCCCTCTTTTTTTCTTTCTCTTTCTCTCCATCTCTCTTTTTTCCTTCCCTCTCTTCCTTCCTCTCCCTTCCTCCCTCCCTTTTTTCTCTCTCTCCATATCTTTTTCTCCCCCTCTTTCTTTCTTTCGTTTTCTTTTCTCTCTCTTTCTCTCTTTCTTTCTATCTCTCTCTTTTTTCTTTCCTCCCTCCCACTTTCCCTTCCTTCCTTCTTTCTTTCTTTCCTCTCTCTTTCTCTCTCTCCTCCCTCCCTCACACCCTCCCTCTTTCTTTCTCTCTCTCTCCATTTCTCTTTTTTCTTCCCTTCCCCCTCTCTCTTTCTATCTCTCTTTTTCTTCCCTCCCTCTTTCTTTCTCTCCATCTTTTTTCTTTCTCTTTCATCTCTTTTTTCTTCCCTTCCCTTCCCTCTCTCTTTCTTTCTCTCCATCTCTCTTTTTTCTTTCCTCCCTCTTTCCCTTTTCTTTCTTTTCTCTCTCTTTCTCTCTCTCTCTTTTCTCCCCTCCCTCCCTCACACCCTCCCTCTTTCTTTCTCTCTCCATTTCTTTTTTTTTCTTCCCTTCCTCTCTCTTTCTTTCTCTCCATCTCTTTTTTCTTCTCTCCCTCCCTCTTTCTTTCTTTCTTTCTTTCTTTTCTTTCTCTCTCCATCTCTTTTTTCTTCCCTTCCCCCACTCTCTTTCTGTCCATCTTGCTCTTTTTTCTTCCCTCCCTCTCTCCCCTCCCTCCCTCCCTCCCTCCCTCCCTCCGCAGCGTGGAGTTCACCGTGGGGGAGAAGCCCATCAGCAACTTCCGCATGATCGAGAGGCACTATTTCCGGGACCGGCTGCTGAAGAGCTTCGACTTCCAGTTCGGCTTCTGCATCCCGACCAGCAAGAACACCTGCGAGCACATCTACGAGTTCCCCCAGCTCTCCGAGGACCTCAGTAAGCCAGGGGGAGGAGGGGGGCAGCGGGGGGGAGGGTCCGGGCTGCCTGCGGTCAAGCGGCCACGGCTGACCCCTCCCCCCCTCTGCCCCCCTCTCCCGCTTCTCTCCCAGTCCAGGAGATGATCCTCCACCCCTACGAGACCCAGTCGGACAGTTTCTACTTTGTGGACAACAAGCTTGTGATGCACAACAAGGCCGACTACTCCTACAGTGGGGGGCCCTGACCCCCCCCCTTCCCCTCCCGATGGGGGTCCGGGAGCCTCGACTCACCGGCCGGCTGCAAAAGGGGCAGCCGGACTGGACTCTGCGTGGAACCGGCCTCTGAGACGGACTAGCTGAAGCTTCCCCTCCCCCCTGACGCCCACCCCCCACCCCCTGGACTTTGGAGGCAACGCCCCCCCTCGTCCCCTGCCTTGTGGGGGGGAGACTGTGACGCCCCCCTCCCCACCTCCGTAGCTGCCAGGCATTGCGGCTCTCCCAGTAGTCTCTCTATTGTTGGGGAAGGGTCTTCCTCGAAGCCCCTCTCGTGCTGGGGGGGGTCATTTTGGTAGGAATTCTGCTCCCCCCCCCCAAGAATGGGATGCTGAAGGTCAGCAGGAATCGTGGGAACTCTGGAATGACACAGCCTCCCCCCCCTCGTTCCCAGCTGTGAACATCCATGGGCAAAGACCCCAGACCCATTTCTTTTGCTTGCCGTGTTTGGCTCAGCCCTTCTCCAAGGGTGACCGAGGGCAGGGTGGGGGCAGCGAAGACTCTGCTGGGAGCCTCTCTCCTGGTGGGCCCCCTTTTGCCGTCTTGGGGGGGGGGAGAAGGGGAAGGGGCTTCTGCTGCTGCTGCAAAAGGGCTGATGAAACCATGTTTGATGTGGTGGTGGGTGAATAGAAGACATGCTTTCTCCAACTCTCTCAATGGACTCTTCCTGCCCTCCCCAAATAACTGCCTGGCTCCGTGGGCGTCCGTCTTCGGAAAGGAACCGGGGGGGGAGCTGGGGGGGTGTCTTTTTTTAGAGAAAGAGGCCTGGGTCCCTCCCTGAGCCACTCTTGTCTTGCAATGGGCAGGGGTCTTCCAAAGGGGACGGAGGGGGAGCAGCTCTTCCCTGGGTTCCTGGGAGAGCTGCTTTCCCAGGGAAGGTTTGGGGTTCCTTGAGTTGGGGCCCTGCCGTGGTGTTGTGTTCGGAGTGTGATGGTTCCGGAGTGGGTTGTGTTGGGCCTTTTGTCGGGTGTGATTCACAAAGTCCCTTTCGTGGGCATCGCAATGCAGTCACACACAACGGGGCCCAACTGTGATCGGGCCATCCAAGTGTGACTTTCTCCACCCCCTGCAGACACCCGTGATCGACGCTTGTGGTTGTGTTACCTCCGACGCAATCTGCGTGGGTGCATCACCCATAAAAGCTGAGTTTCCTCCCTCAACAGAGGCAACCTGTGAATTGGGGGGGGGGGCGAGAGGGGAAGGGCTCCTTGGGGGGGTGCACTTAAGAGACCCCCAGTTGGGCAAAGGAAGCCCACCCACCCCTCAGAGATCAGGGCTGGGGGAGGCAGAGGTAGCCTCTTGCAAGGGGCGGGGGCTTCTCAATATTTGGGGGGGTGCCGTGTCTGACTTCTGTGGGGCTAAAGTTGCAGGCAGGCGATGATGGGCCCCTTGGGACCCTTCAAGTCCCCCTTGGAAACTCTCCAGGCAGAGAGGATCAAAGCCTAGGAAGAACCGGGCGTGGCCCGTCTAGAGAAAAGAAGGACGGGGGGACATGGGGGGCATCTTCCAATCATTGAGGGGCTGCAACGAAGGAGAAGGGGGGGTCAACTTTTTCCCCCCAAACACCTGAAGGCAGGGCAAGGAGCCACAGGTGGGAACGGAGGAAGAAGAGAGGCAATCTGCAACTAATTTCCTGACAATTATGGTTAACCAGTGGAACTACTTGCCACCAGAAGTCCTGGGTAGCTCCATCACTGGAGCTTTTTAAGAAGAGATTGGACAACTGCCTGTCTGGAATGTTCTGGGGCCGGTGTGTCAAACCCACGTCATCACGGCGTCATCACGTGAAGTATCGTGATTTC